GTTTTATTTTTATTTATCATGAAACTGACCCCTGAGGCACATGGGATACAAATATATAGGACCAATTTGCTTTGAATCATATTGTTTTGAAACAAGATTTAAACTGCTTCTCTTAAGTTTAAAGGATTTAAGGATTTAAATCACTAGATGTGGAACATCCAATTTAATTATCATTCCTAAACAGAAAAATATTATTACTTTATTTAACCTTGATACATAATTAGATGTGTAGGTTTTTATCAGAAAGTAGATAAACACTAAACAGTTTATTCTGAATCATTTTCAAATTAATGTACAGTTCACTGAAATACTGGATCCTTTGCATTTATATACAGACTTCTCCTTGTTCATATCTAATCCATCTATCCAAGTTGTCTATTTATTGACCCTCTTCAACACTGCATTTAGGGAGAAGCACACCCAAGACAGAATGCACTTCATGTACAGAATGGAACTGATCACACTATCTCCGGGGTCATGGAGACCAGCAGCTTGGAGCTGTCTGTGACACTCCAGCCCCATCACCCCCCGATTGGCACAGGACTGCATGACTGCATGGCTCAGTCCTGGTCCAAGCCACCGCCATGGGACCAAATTAGCAGTACTACTAGTAGGGTCTCCTGTGCCAGACAGGTTTTTGCTGAGGAGCCAGACTAAATGTGCCAAACAGCTACTCAGCAGCAGCAGTGTGGGGTGACATTGGTGCATGATTTCTCAGAGACAAGGGCATCTTTTATCATAAAAACCCCATTATGAGACAATCGAACATCTTTTATCACAAAAACCCCATGATGAGACAATTCAAAATGAAACAAGAAATTGTGACAGAAGATGATACCCCCAGGTCCGATAGCACTCAATGAGATAATGAAGTAGAGCAGAGGACCCCTATGAGTAGTGTTGAGGCTAATTATGCTAACTGATATTAAACTAAAAAGACACTAAGTTGTTGAAGTTCCCAAAGTTGAAAGGAAAGTCCAAAGCTGCACAACGCATATTAAAGGAACATGGAATGTGAGAAGCATAAATCAAGGAAAGCTAGGCATAATAAAACAAGAAATGGAACATATAAACATTGCAATACCAGGGGTGACTGAGCTAAAGTGGACAGGAATGGGACATTTTAAGTGAGGTAATTACACACTGTTTTATTCTGGAACTGATAATCTATTTTATTCTGGAACTGATGGGCTTCCGTGGTCCAATGGCAAGAAAAGGTAAAAAAAAAAATTAAGAAAGATATAGCTAAAACCAGTGAAATAAATATGGTTAGCTATGTATATTTCACAAAGGAATGCAAATTCAATCCCTGTCTTAGATTTTAAAACATGAAACAATTCTGAGTGCCAATATAAAATGTATATGGTAAAAAAAAAAAAAAAAAAACAGACCCAGCATGGTGTAGTGGTTTGAATGTTGGACTATGACTCTAGAGGCTAGGGTTCAATTCCTAGCTCGGCCATGAAACCCACTAGGTGACCTTCGGCAAGTCACATGCTTTTAGCCTCAGGGGAAGGTAATGGCAAACCTCTTCTGAACAAATCTTGCCAAGAAAACCCCATGATATTTTGCCTTAGGGTCGCCAGAAGTCAAGAATGACTTGAAGAGACACAACAACCATATGACAAATAAGGTGCTATTGTGGGCCTAAAACTAAATGTCATGCTTATATACTTCCGTTAGAAACATCTGGCCTTTTCCTGCTCTCCCCTGTGGCTCTCAGTATGACCCAAAAAATCTGATTTAAAGAGTTTCCAACCCATCCAGAGTAGATTTTGAATTTTGGAAGAGAGACTGCAGGTGGATGGGAAATCACTCCTTTCCAATTCTATTGAGGGAGGTAATTCTATCAGTAGAGGAAGACAATTGGATTCCCAGCCATTCCTGTAATAATTCATCATCAGGATTATCTATTCAGGAAGTCTCAGTAGCTATTCAGCTATTCAGCCTTTCTGTTGTTCTTAAAATTAGCATCAGACCTTCCTTAGCCAACCTAATATTTGAGATTTTATACTACACCTGAAAATACCCTTTACCATAAAATTCATTATTGAGAAGAACAATCCACACAACATACAATAAATGCATGGGACGTTTTATGCTCAAAAGTCTCTTAAAGCCTCTGACAAAAATGGCAATCATATCCTTAAAACTACTGAGATACAGCATGACAGAAATTGCTTTATTTTGCTTAATTTAGAACCATTACCAGAATAGAGCACATGCAGTGGGTTCAAAAATAACAAAATTCTAAGCAATTCCCTAAAGCCGACATGTATTTTCTACACTACACAAATTGCTATCCTGGAAAAATGCATGTTTACATTGTTGAAAAGCAATTCATCAGAAAAATTAAAACTGTTTGATACTCTTGGGGGCATTTTGTTCTGTAATACTAACAACAGTAAAGTTTGATGAATATTCCCATGTTAAACAATGGCTAAAGAAAGCTGTTGAAAGCTGTCAACAAGTATTAACATGTTGTCAACAAACAGCAAAGGGAACTGCTGAAAATCAGCAAGAGAACTGCAGTAATGGTATGGAATAAGAAAAGGAACATTTTGCTTCAATATAAAAGGGGGAAAATGTTAGCAATGAGATACATTAATTAGTTTGAAGTGAATAGTGCAATCCTACGCATACAACTGGGCATATGTCTCTCTAACATCTAAATAGATTTGCATTTTAATTCTTCTGAATAGCTCCTTCAGCTGAGTTATTTGAAATTGGTTCTGATTAAGGTCTAGAAAGCACAGAGTTAAAAATAAACTATCTTACATGATTTTTTTTTGCTTCTCCACTATTTGTATGTTATGAAAATCTGTCAACTACTTCTGAACATACTTTTGTATTTGCAAATCATGTCATTGAATTATCACACTCACAGTGAAAAAACAAATATGCAGATTGATATTAATGGGATTTATGTGAACCATGCTACCCCAAATACATCAAAAAATACTGTTTTTTTGCCAAATAAAAGATTTCCACTTTATTTGTGAACATTAAAGATAGCAATACAATTTTAAGTAAAACAAACAAAGGGCCTCGGCAGACGACTAATAGGGTCATCTTCGAGCCCTGGAAGAGGAGGGGCAGCCGCACGAGCAGCACCCCTTCCTCCTCCCGAGGTTGCCCTCGGAGCTGCCGGCCATCCACACATTTAGGGCGCACTTTCCCTGTCTTCCGAAAGGAGCGCTATTTTTGCGCTCCTTTCAGGGACGCCATCGGTGTGCCGTGGTGCGGCTGTCATGGCCCCGTGGCGCACTGTCCCAGGGCGTCCCCGATGCCCTGGTCTGCATCCCCCCAAAGTCACACATTGTTGAGCAATGTGCACATTTGACAAATAGGCATCATTCAGTTTCTGTAGTGCTCCAAATTTTGTGATATAGCTTTTGGTAAAAATAATAATAATAAGTGTATTAAAATTCATATTTAAGTTAAATATGAATTAGGTTAAAACTGATTCTTCCTTTAATAAAAGGTGTTTCTCAGAGCAATGTGGAAACATGTTTAGGAATAAACATATGTGCAACTCACAAAGACTGGAAACAGATGTATTGGTCAATCCCCAATTTCAAGGTTTGAAACCTATGAAATTTATTGGGTTTCCTAATCCTTTTTTCTTCATTTGGACTTCAAAGAATGAAAGTCTTTATGGATTAGAAAATCTGATTTCATGAACAGAATATGCAATAAATACTCTTACATGTCAAGTTGTGAACCTTCCACCATTACACCTATATCCATCATTCGTTTTCCCCACTTCCTGATTTGAAAAGCTGCTATAGGAGGATTTGACTTTTAAGGCCTTGGCCTGGGCTTTAAATGAAACTTAAATTGAAAGGAAAACTATATAATGACTGGGAGAGAGGACTGTTCAACAAACAGGACACTTGCATCCCTACCACCATCAACTAAATTGTAAACTCAAGAATCTTCCACGCTGCCAGTGCCAATGTCACCAACATGTTATTCCCCTTAGACATTTTTAAATGCAAATGATTTTATCTCCCAAAGGATGGGAATGATTGGAGGAAAGCAGAACCTTGGGGAGAGATGGGCATAGGACTGCAAAAAATGCATTAATATAATTTCCAAGTGGCTTGCTATTTTGGCATGGATCAGAAAGATTTGCCTGTTATATGCTTCTGATCATGACTGGCTTTGCTAATAGGTCCAGGTTAGGGGCAGAGAAAACATACAATTCCCTAAAGCATGCAGTTCAGGAAGACCTGTCAAGGAAGTCCATTCAGCTATCCACAATTGCTGATGGCTCAGACAATTCAGTTGGTAACACTCATCTGCATGGACAGTATTGTAGTAGCATGCATTATCCAATGATTATTTGCAGTAAAGTTGACAATATCAGTGTCCTAGTTTATGGATGTATGATGGAAAAGATGCTTATTGATCTGTGTTCTTATTGTTGCTATATTGTATTTTTCTTTTTTTAAAGACAGACTCTATTAAGGCAAACTAACACAAGCTTGGGCTTACCAAACATTGCACACAGGTTTGTAAATCAAAGAAATGAATGGTTCTAAGTGTCTCTGACCTGAAGATTACTTGATGTGTATATGGGGGTACTCAGTTACTAAGTGGCATTTCAGGCACTTAAAGAGGGTTTTTAAAGAGGGGGACTCTGTGCCTGGTAACATCCATTAGAAAACTTTAATAATCTTAAGGCTAATTTCAAAGGAGGCATCCCAGTCCCAGGGATCACTGAATCAGTGTGAGCATGAAATTAGCATCTAAAATTGGGTTAAACCTCAGAGATGATTGGCTAGTATTCAAATGAGGCAAAATTTGGCTTACACAAAAATGAAATATTTCAAAAGTTTTGTCACTGCCAGATATGTTAACAAGAATATTTGCACATTTTTTTATGATTTTGCATTTCCCAAAGTTTAAAAAGTAATTGAAAAGTCAGCAAAACCTGCCATAACATGTTCAGACATCTTTTCTCATCAGGGATGAAAACATGTGATTCTTTATTTTCTTCTAGAAAGGGAGCACCTTTACTCAGTTTTCAGGAACTCTGTGAAAAATTAAGAGTTCTATATAAGAAATTCTCCAGAATTCCACATTTTCCATGTTTGATTCATAATTTGATTATTCATTTCATTATTTATTTGAAACATGTATCTACAACATATTTATAGAATCATATGATTTTAAACTTGTGTCCAAAGTTAGTAGGGCGCAACTGGAAGGATGCAGTTAACTCTGCCGATGGATGGTGACAATAAGAACAATACATCTAAATTGGCCCACACTTCATAAATCCAGTTCTGTAAAGAAAACTGCTGAATTTGTCAGCATTCACCATAATCTTCATTATCCCCTACATTCTAACCTCTGATGCAGTATGATTTACTCTTCCTTATATTTCCATTCACTGCATATACCCTTGTGCACTTGGGTGATTGTTAAGTCCACCAAAAAGAGTGGTCAATCCACCTCCTCAAAGCTTATGCCATTCAATATATTAGTTAGTCTTGAATTATAGTAAGATTGCTGCCAACTGGAGAACTCAAAGATATAGCTGTGTTACTCTGTAGCTGTGTAATTCTGTAGAATCAGTATGTAGAGAGATCTTGTAGCACCTTTGAGATTAAGGGGTGAAGCAGACAACCCTGAAGAGTGGCTCTGTGCCACCCCTTTGAGTGGCACTCTGGCATTTTTCCAGCCTCAAAAGCAGCAGCAAAATGCTGCTCCTTTTGGGGTGGAAAAAAGATGCCCTTGCTGCTGCAGCGGTGGCTCTTCTTCATTTCTTCAGTGCAGTGTGTTTAAACGCTACACCACAGAAACGTTGTGATGCCACTTGCCATCTGATCAGGTGGGTGACGTGATGGTGGCATGGGGACAGAGTCAGGGTGTGCACTGTGCGTACAACACTCCAGACCGACACTGGCATTTCCTGCTGGTCTGTACAGCCCCTAACTGAAATAAAGAAGTTGGCAGTGTGAGCTTTCATAGATTTCAGTCTGCTTCCTCAGATGCATATAGCAGAGCGAAAACCAGGGACGGACATGGCATATATATATATATATATATATATATCTGTCCCTGGTTTCTACACCACTATGTGCAGCTGTAGACTGAAGTCTATGAAAGCTCATGCTGCCAACTCTTTATTTCAGTTAGTGTCAACTGGAGGACTGTAAATATTCATCAATGAATTAATAATTCTTTGTATAAGAAATATGAATCATGTTGACCGTAGCAGAGTACATTAAAGGTCTTTTCAGTTTCTTTGTTTTTAAATGGAATTTATAGTCAGTAAAATATCAATAATGTATTATGTTTATAGTGATAAAAATAAGAGAAATCAATTATTATCTAGAAGTAACTTCAACTAGAAGGTCTTAAACAGAAGAGCTGTGGGAGTTTTTTTGAGCAGAAGGAAACATGGGGAAGTGAATATTTCTGTCAAAGCAAAACAGAAAATGTTATATC